TACACAGCGCAACAACCCAGAAGACAGAAATCTTCATACCCATCGCCCTGATGATGGAGGCAGTATGACCTCTGAAACGTTGGTAAACATCTACCAGACTACACAGCGCAACAACCCAGAAGACAGAAATCTTCATACTCACCGCTGTGTAAACCTCAAATCTTACAATAGCCGTTTAGTTTCGGAATATTTCGTGAGTCGACCATCAAGAATGAAAGTCGAACTTTCCTCTCGCATCGACTGGGTTATGCCAGTTCGTGGGTTCGACGCTTGGGACTGTTGTCCTGTTTTAGTGCATTGTTTTGTTATTTCCCATCTGACAGAACTCGTGTCCGTGTTTACATGTGCGAGGTGTTTCAACGAGTGGTTTCTCTTGTCTGATCATTAATATTTCTTGAGGATCTCTGATGCTTTATTAAACGTGCGACAGGTGTTACATAAGCAAGCGATTTTAAATTTCTTGGTGTCAAAAATGTCTTTCAGTGTCTTCGCTGCTACAGATTTTTAACGTCTTCACTTTTTATTTGGGAAAAGTTGGACTCTGGAATTATTTGGAGTATCACGCAAAGAAAAATGTAAGTGACATAAATCTCTTCCTGTACCTGAACCATCAACTCAAAACAGACGCACTAAATGACCGTTACTACTGTCCACAGACCAGGAGAAAAGCCCTGCGGTGGGTAGTCGTTTCTGGTGCGGTTCAGGGGGAATGTTACTTATCAGCTGGACTAGAGGGCTGCTATTGGTGGGAAGTGTGATACGTCAGAGTTTTACGCTACTACACAGACTGAAAACATCAAGCAGTTAAGAGTAGCGTGTAGTGAGTGCACCTCTAATGTGTTCTGAGGGTGTTGCGATAATATTCTAGATTAAATCGCTGTGAGGTAATCTTAAAGCTGTACCCATTAGAATACGTGAAAGCCTGTTGTTCGTTCAGTGGTTGTGGAACGAATGCTTTTAGGATGGGTCGTCACTCACCGCGAAATCTTGCGCATGCGCGTATATCGAATTCCTAGCAGGGCTTTTCTCCTGGTCTGTGGACTGTAGTAAGTTTCACGCTTTGTCCGCTTAACCCTGAATATTCTCCTGAACACTCTACACGCGAGTCTGAGTGACTCCAAGAGCTGCTCCGTTCTTGACGGAGAACAGAGAAACCAGTTTTTTTCCGGATTAGGAACGCCGGTCGTCCAATCCGTAGCCGGTCACTGCGCCGACTACTAGGCTTCTAAGCGGTACATACTATTAATAATATATGATACGATGTAAATTTTAAAATTAGTTTCATATTTAGAAGGAAAGAAAACTTTTAATTTATTTCGATTTTACAGATTTATCTCTACACCGACATTTTAAATTTAACTGTATCCCTGGCAACGACGCGGTTGAACGTCGAAGTAAATTTCACTCGTTTCCTGGCAAAGTATGAGAGAAAACTGCCAAATGACCGTATCGTAAATCCTTGTAGTCAGGGTAGGTTGTTCTTTGCCTGTATTAAAATAAGTTTTTCGACGATTGTGGACGTGTCTTATAACGGGGATATTTTCTAGTTACATACTACATTTTATTGTATGTAATGTCTTGAAATACGCAGGTGTACATATACAGAGTGAGTTAGAGGTATGTTTACAATTTTCGTGTGCGTGTTCCAGGATCAAAAATAAGAAAAAATGATCCTATGGACATGGGGTCGCAAATGCTTATTTTTCAAAATAATAGCCAAAAATAATTTTCAATATATGCCTTTATTGCCAAGTATAAGGACAGGGATGTTTCTTTATAACAGATGCTCAAGGGTTGTTCC